ACAGCCTTTCAGAGACCATTCATGTCCAACTTGCTCTTCAATGATAAACATATATTATTTCTGATGGTTTTCACAAAAAGGACAGAATTAAGCAGGTGCATTTTTCTTTAAATATGCACATTTTCTGAAACATTTTTTCTCAAAAAATATCTCAATAAAAATATTTGTTATCAAGCGACAGTTTCTATCTATTAATCAATGACATATTTATAAACTGTGAACATTTTGACTTTATACCACACGTAGTTTTGGAGCTATTGTAAAAATAATTTTTTAGTCATGTTGACCTTTGACGAAACCTAAAAGCAATGCCAGGGCAAAGAGAAAATTCGAACTTTGCACTTTGATCCAAACGAATTTTTTTTCGCAGTTAATCTAGGCGCACAATGCATCGATTGTTAAAGCTACGTTCTGGCGATAATAGGGAGTCGCAAGATATATGATACCATCTGAAATTATTATGAGAAACGCATGTCTCGACCAATTTCTTTGTTTCATAAATTTAATATTTTAATAAATATACATTTTTAGCAACAAAATATTTCAGTAAAAGAATCTGACACAGTTTGAATAATGGAGACACAGAACTATGATTTGAACTAACTTGAATCTACACTACCTGAGGATGCTTCCACATGAGTTTCATCTTTCCTGGTCCTGATGTAGGATTTTTAAAAAAATCTTCTTCTCCAGAACCAGATATCTATGTTAAACTTTGATCAGACATTGTGGCCCCGTCCTACCCCTGGGGTCATGATTTTAACAAAATTTAATCTACTACCTGAGGATGTTTTCACAAGAGTTTCATCTTTCCTGGTCCAATGGTTCTGGAGAAGAGGATTTTTTAAAAAAAATTCTATATCTTCCTATGTTAAACTTTGATAGACCATTGTGGCCCCGCCCTACCCCAAAGGGGTCATGATATTAACAAAATTGAATCTACACTACCTGATCTTGAGGATGTTTCCACATGAGTTTCATCTTTCCCGGTCCAATTGTTCTGGAGAAGATGATTTTTAGAAAAACAAATTTTATATATTCCTATGTAAACCTCTGATCAGCCATTATGGACCCGCCCTACCCCAGGGGGTCATGATTTTAACAAAATTGAATCTACACTACCTGATGAGGATTTTTCCACGTGAGTTTCATCTTTCCTGGTCCAATGGTTCTGGAGAATACGATTTAAAAAAATTCTGTATATTCCTATGTAAACCTTTGATCAGCCATTGTGGACCCGCCCTGCCTCCGGGGTTATGATTTTAACAAAATTGAATCTACACTACCTGAGGATGCTTCCACGTGAGTTTTATCTTTCCTGGCCCATTGGTTCTGCATGGAGAAGAAGATTTTAAAGATTTTTCCTACATATTGCAATGTAGACTTTGATCAGCCATTGTGGTCCCGCCCTACCTCCAGGGGTCACGATTTGAACAACTTGAATCTACACTACCCGAGGATGCCTCCACGTGAGTCTCATCTTTCTGGCCAAATGGTTCTGGAGAAGAAGAAGAATTTGAAAAGATGCCATTAATTTTTCATTAATTCATAATTATCTCCCCTTCGGCTCAGGTGAGCTAAAAACTCATTTTTTCGGGTTTCTTTCCATGTTCGTCAAATTTTGTGAATAAAATTGGACAGTATATGCAGTGTTTAAAGTGCATTTACATGCACTGATCTTCAATAATAATTGTATTATTTTTTTTACATAATCATGAAATGGTATCAAATATTCTGGGACATATTCTGATTATTGGCATTTTGAAGCAGGCTAGGGGGTGCAACAAATTAACAAATTAACCGTTAGATATAATTTTTTTAGATGTGATATTTTAAGCTGTTAGCTATCATTTGGAAAAGAAAAATATATTAAATCTTAGTTTTGAAATTTGATCCTTTTTGTATATCTTTCTATGGAGCTCTTCATCTAACGTAAATCAATATGGTCTGAAAATAGCCACAACCACCCACTCCCTTCTAATATTATTTATTTATTTTAAATTTTGCATTTATTTAAAACCAACCTTTATTCAAAATGGCCAATACCACATGCCAATTTGTTCTAACTTTACTTTAGATGATCAACAATCACTTGTCCTCCAGTAAATTAGTATGAAATAATTCAGCAAACAATAAAATTATTTACTTACTTCACTTGTCGCGCAAATACCTTCTTTAATTTGTCGATGAGCGAGATAAAATTCTGCACCAAAATGTTCCCGGCTTAAAACTTTGGAGAATGACAAAGAGGAAGCTGGCAGTGAGCATGCTCAATGATGCTTAATTAGTTGTTCGAAAGAAATTACAGTTATCCTCGAACCATAATAAAATTAAGAAGCAAATTGTGCTCGAAATAATCTGGCAGCAGGCTTATTCATGCGAGATAAACCTTGTCATATGGAGAGCCACCTATTCCGGTGGAGAGCTGCATTTATACCTAAACTCGGCAGTCATTGCCAACGATCAGTGAGGAATCTTTTTCATTTTAGCATCAGATGCATTTAGTAAAGCAAATTTAGTTTTCAGTCTACAAAGGAAATGTTTTATTTCTAACTTTAAAAAAAAATAGAATAGCATGGAAGAGAGAATTAATTTATGGTGACTATTTTATTGAACAATTATTTTGTGCAGACAACACAGTTAACAACTTCATTGCCGGTATATGGTGGACATTGCAAGGCACCACACTGATACAGAACAGGATAAAAGAGAGCACCATCGGTTCCCCTTTCACCACCATTTAAAAAATCAGGATCGTGGTCAACGCAGACATACTCGGAGCTACTTTTATAATCATAATAATTTGCTCCGAGATATCCATGATACTGCATTGTCAACCTGAATAACATGAACTGCGTCCTGGAATCATCACCATCTTTGATCCAGATAAGCTTGCACATACAGCGCAAGGTGCATCTTCATTACTTGAATGGACTTTCCAAAAGTTGGTTTCGTATTCTACACCATATACGTAGTTTACTGAACCACCAGAAAATGTCTTTCCGCTTGATACAGGGTCATCCGGGAGACAAAGATAGTTTGGTGGTGCACCCTGGTAATTCCACCATCCACCAGCTGCGTATCCTTAAAATATGATTTAATTCAGTTAATGTGATGCCCCTTGTAGTTGTGCAATTTATATAGAAAAATGCTCTGGTAGGCAGTCTCAAGAACAAACTAATTTTTATTATTAACTTAAAGGACACCCATTGAGAGTCAGAAATATGTTGTTTATTTTTGCATCAGTTGTTTCTATTTTTAGTAACAGCCAATAATTCATTTTGGTCAATATTCAAGGGAAAATGCAAAAAAAATTGGTGAAAAAATGACCACTTCTATAATTAAAAGTAAAAAGGAAAAAAAAACAATATTTGAAGAAAAGGACAATATTTTCTCACGGAACTGAGTCGTAAGATTAAGTTGGAATCAAAAACTTTTGTAATACCTGTGTATAAAAGGCTGTCCCATCAGCACAAATATTGGCATGGTGCCAAGAAATGATAAGGAATCATTTTTTGTCAATGTTCAGGGATATATTACGCTTCTTTTTTCAAAATTTTGTTCATTTAAAAATCTCTAAGATATTATCTCAACAATATATAAAATCCACCTTTGGAACTCTCAAGGACATAAAAGTAACATCGTAATAAAATAATTTCAAATTCAAATGATAAAAAAATAGTGATTTTATAAGTTTAACTTTTACAGTAATTTAAATGAATTTTGTGCAATATATGTAAAAATATTAACAATAAAAATTATTTTGAATTTTATACAAGCTATAAATTAATTTTCCCCTGCTTTTCACGTGAAAAAACGTATTTTTTACAGTTATTTTAGATTTTGTAAAAATTATCTCCCCTGTTGCACTCTTCTGTAGAGAAGGTAGATAATGATTATGTTTATGAAGAGATATCTGTCATTTAATCGTTTTAGGCATACATTATGTTTGGTTTTAAGAAAATTGTCCTTCCTGTGAATTTAATTTGTTACATATATGCTAGTGGCCTAATTAAAAAATACATAAAACATTATGAAATCCATTGGGATCGTTGTACGGTTCCGTAACCACGTGTAAACATTATGGCTTCCTGCGACGTTTTGTACGTCCTCAGAAAAAGATTCAGGTGCATGAATTGTCAACGAGTCTTCAGATTCTGGTTCTGATTTTGATGAATATGATTCTGACAGCGAACATTCATTTGGTAGCGAGACGGATGTACAGTGTAGTGATGATGTTACCGAATCAACAACGTTGAATTTTAAAGTGAAACAGGTACATGTAATTGGATCTTGGTTTATAATACTATGTACATTATAAAAAGGCTTATTGATATGTAAAAAAAAATAGATAAATAAACAATGTTGATGGGGACTTGATTATATACGAGAGAAGGTTTTTTACAAGACAACATCAGGTCTGGTACAATCACTGATTTAGCTACGTAGCTTGATTTACCTACTTAGTTAGCTTTATTCACATGTAACTACCTGAAGTAGCTTTATCTAGCTATCAAAGTTATTTATTTCTATTAAAAAAATCTACCTACGTAGCTAAATCTAGTGATTGTACTGTGCCTGAATATATACCTAGCAAACATGTCAAGAGAAATTTTAAGGTTGGTACATATAGCTATAAAAATATATGTATGAATTCAACAATATTGCAAAATACATAGATGTATACAACATATTCACATCTGCTGAATTATAAAAAGCATAGAGATCTAAGTAGCCTTTGTGGGGTGATGAAAAGGGAAGGAAAAGTTGAATAGGTCCAGGGTTTTCAAAGACTGTTTACTAATAGGGTAAATTAAGAATTGGATAGGTGGGTCTCCACTGTCAATTAAATCAGCATAATTGCCTCATATGTGGGATGCATAATAATAAAGAATCTCATTAAACACAATATTTTTTCAGATATTTATGAGATGTTATGAAGAAAGCTACAGTTATGATTTTTGGCTTTATGGAATAGTAGTCTTTATGGGAGATCACATAGAGTTGTCAAATACTTGTGCAGACTGCAGACTTTTCAAATTCAAAGGTCACCTTGTGTTCCTTGACAGGTTTGTGTTTAAAACAACTGATATTATAAATATAAGACTGGGAAATTGTACTTTGTAAAGAATATTTCATTTCATTCTTATATTTCTTGTGCAATTTCAGATTATTCATATTCATTTCCCTGGATAGGGCTGGGCTTTACAATGGGATTTTCAGCTGTGGAGCTATAAAGAATTACTACGTAGGGTTTCCAATGTAGTTTTGTGAACAGAATCCAGAAATAAGAAGAGGAGGGACGATGCAGATGCAGCATGAGCATGACCAATTACTTGCCACTGCTGAGAAAATGGTAAAGAAATGTTATACTATAGTATAGGAATTGCCTTGTCTGTCTGTCAATTTGCCACATGCATTTTTACCTATTCTGTTACTTTACTTCAAGAAGATGAGAAGCTTTTATTTTTTTCCAAAGATAGCCAGAAGACTTTGTGAATAATCTTACTCAAGTCATTTGATGACATTTTCTTAAATTGGAAAATATAAATGTAACATAATCATAAACATGACATTTATTTTAAAAATCTTAGAATATGTCAAGTATGGTTTATTTCAATTTAATCTGAAAACTGTCCTTTTTCACAGGTACATGCTTTGAGTACTACTTTTGTGTATTTGGAGACAGTCCACTTGTTCTTTAAACCAGGAGTGGAAATTTCAGTGCTTGTTAAATTTTCTCCAGAACTTATTTGATGCTACATAGGAAGAAAATGGGGTCATGCTGAACAGAATAATTTGGATACACCTTATAGATTTTGAACACTTGAAGAAGAAAAAAAGACAGTGTATAATTGAAGAAGCTTGGTTAGTGACCAATATTTTAGGGTATTTTATACATGTTACATGTAACTTGTACGATTTTATTGGTACATGTACTTCAACATTGTTAACATCTTAATATTTAATATGTATCCGGTTTCACTTGCAGGAATACACAAAAATTCAGAGTAAATTTTCAATGTTTGTTTTGTTAGATAAGGTCAAAGATCAAGGTCAACAGTGCTTTTGTTTTACCAAATATAGCATTATCATAAAGACTAATTTCCTGTATACAGGTATAGCAAATAATTCAGAATATGACTTGGGAAGCTGTGATTTTTCTTTTTAATCTTATCTTAATTAAGAATCATGATGTATACTTAAGAAGTAGAATTTTTTCAAGCATACAAAATTTCAAGGTCATTTTAATTTTGGAAGTGAATATAAAATATCAGAAAGCAGTCAAGCATTGTAATTGTTTTTATTGTTGAATGAACTTAGTTATTGAGTGATATTCAAATTTTAATCTGCAATGAAATTAAAAATTAGAAATGTCCTAATTTGTTGATTCTAAAAACTTGGTGTTCATTCATTTTGAGTTTGTTGCTATGACAATATGTCTGTCAAGAAAATGGCTCTGATATTCCTTTTTTTTTCAGTTTGACCCTTGACCTTTGACATTGTGATCTCAAAATCAAGAGGGGTCCTTTACTTTTCAAGAAACCAGTATACTAAATTAGATGTCTGTAAAGCAATTGGTCCTCAAGATTTTGATTGATTTAAATCTACATTCTGGTATATCTAGAGAATTGTAACCCTTGACCTTTGACCTTGTAAACTCTAAACTAAAAGGGGCCATCTACTTATTTGTAGGTACCAGTGTACTATGTTTATTATCTATTGAGCAAATTTAATTTTTTTCTAAGATAAGAGAGAACACACTTGGTCTATTGACTGATAAACAGGTGCTAAGCAGTATGTGAATCACCCTTTTCAAAGACAATGTAAAATAATACAATTCAGGTAACCCCCCCCCCCCCAACATTAACCCCATTTAACCCCTAAGATATAATTAAATTGATTAAGAACAAAAATGTACAATATACTGGTATTTTTCAACAGCAAAATTTGAATTTTTGAACATATTTAACTAGGCAAAAACACCTTGCTGAAGTTCAAGGATGCGATAATATGAAAATTGAAAAAAAATGTCCAACTTTAAGTAAAAAGTACAGCCAAAAATTTGAGAGTCCAAAGACAGATTTTTTTGTATAATGTAAAAGGACATGTTGTCTAATAATTAGTATATGATTTACTTGATTCTAAGCGTCACTTTCTGAGTTACAGGTTTTTGAAAATGGAGTATTTTCACCAGTTTTCAAAAATCTGGAAATATGCCAGATTTGTGACCTTTTCGCACTTAAACGGGAGCACAGTTTGTGATTATGGAAAATTTTCCAAAACAAGTGTATCTTGTTACTTTCAACCATATATGGATATCATATCATTATTAAATAAATGCTGAATTTTTTAAATATAAAATCCTATAAAATTCCTGTTTTCAACCTGTGTAAGGACAAAGAATTCTATTTTTAGTAACAATGGCGATTTACCCCCTTAAGTGAGACCACACTGAAAAAAAATTTGTGGCAAAATATTTTATATTATAGAAGAAATTTAGACACAAAACATGGAGTTGATCAGAGAACCTTGCTCCCATAGCCTTTCGCATGGTTTTCTCGTAGACATGCTCTTTAAGCAAATTCTGAAATTTTACATACCGTACATACTCGCCTGTAAGTCGGTTTTTGGGGAGTTCAACTCTAGTCTAAAACTCTTTGTCCGACTTATAGGCGAGCTATCAAAAGTATGGTTTTTTTTAGGTCAGTCCATCTGATATACAAGCTTATCAAATACAACCGACTTATAGGCGGACCGACTTATAGGCGAGTATATACGGTAACAACTCTCTTATGGCCTAATAAAGACCCCTATTGATTATGAGGTCAAAAGGTCCTTTCAAGGTCGAAATTTACACATTCTGTCTGTGTGTAACACTTTTTCCGAGCGATATTTCAAGAAGATTTTGAGCTTATTCAATGTAATTTTATACCAAAACTCCCTAGTACCTCTCTCAACCATATCAAAGTGAATCGCCCTGTTTGTTTTATTAGTATTTATAGTATTACATGTCGCTATTTTTAGCACAAGTGTATGCTGCAGCAGAGAGTTACTGCGTATAAAACAGGTTCTCGGCGGACTTTATGTTCTTATTACATCTATTAGAACTGTTTAATAAAGGCTAAATAAATCAAACACCATGGATTGTGTAAAATTTTGACAATACCGAACATGAATATATACATGTATTTGACTTCACTTCTGCATATACTTGATTCTATGTAAAGCGATTCCGTGGTCTAGTGGTATGTTTATCGCTTCCAGTGTGAGAGGTCCCGAGTTCAAGTACCGGACGGACATTCTTTTTTTGAAATACTTTTTTTTAACTAAATAATAGTTTTCAGCACGCGAAATGAAAAATTTACGAGGTCTGGCTTGTACAAACTCATAAAATCATCACTACAGTGTGATAAATATTCCATATAAAAAGATTCTATACACATAATAAAGAATAAGCAATTAAATCTTTGTATCCATAATGGTATTTTTTATTTGCTTCGGTATACATGCACGTATATATTTAATAATTCTACAAATTCAGTGAGGGGGATCCAACTCCCCCCCCCCCCTTCCCTCCCCCCGAACTGCGCATGTTTTACTTTTTCCTTAAGCGGGGGACACAAATTCTCTGAATTAGCTTGTTTGTATTAAAGTAAAACTCCAACACTTTTTACAGCAATTTGCCTACCTGAGTAGATGGTCACAGATACATTGGAAGGGCAGGAATGTTTTCCCCAAAGTACATATACGGTACCATCTCCACCTAAAAAGATGATCTTACATTTAAACTACACACATTTAGTATCAATAAAAATAATCTTAGTTTCAAATAATCCACACTTATTTACATCAGTAGGGGCATAAAATTTTCGTCAATAATTCGTTATCGAATGCTCTAATAATTACGAATATTCGATCACATGAATAGGTCTAAATTTACTTTAAGCATACATTTTACTTCACCCTCTTGCCCTAGAAATTTTGTTTATGTAGGTGTACCTGTCAGTTAATAGTTTTTATTTAAAAAATTAAATATGACAATTGAAATTTAAACATAAAATATGTGTATGTTTTACATTCAAATGGTATATCGAACATCAGTATCTGGCCAAAGCGAAGCCGAATAAATTTTACTTTTCAATAGGTTTCCTCTTCACATCACAGTCTTTGTAGGATTTCATTTTTTAGCTCTACTGGTCAGAGACCAGAAGAGCTTATGCGATAGTAATGCGTCCGGCGTCCGTCCGTCTGTCTGTCTGTCTGTAAACAATTTTTCAAAATGCTACTCCTCCTACAGTTTTGGTCTAATTTCAATATAACTTGGCACACAAGTAGACTACACTAAGATACATAATTCTGTGTATCGGTTTTTGATTTCGATAAACGGTGTTGCCGTGGTTACTAAAAATAGAAATTTCTGTGAAATTCTTTCAAAATGCTACTCCTCCTACAGTTTTGGTCTGATTTCAATATTACTTGGCACACAAGCAGACTACACTAAGATACATAATTCTGTATATCGGTTTTTGATTTCGATAAACGGTGTTGCCGTGGTTACTAAAACTAGAAATTTCTGTGAAATTTCTTTCTAAATGCTACTACTCCTCCTGTCTTGATCCGATTTCAATATAACTTGGCAAACAAGTAGACTACATTAAGATACATAATTCTGTATATCGGTTTTTGATTTCGATTAACGGTGTTACCGTGGTTACTAAAAATAGAAATTTCTGTGAAATTCTTTCAAAATGCTACTCCTCCTACAGTTTTGGTCTGATTTCAGTATAACTTGGCACACAAGTAGACTACACTAAGATACATAATTCTGTATATCGGTTTTTGATTTCGATGAACGGTGTTGCCGTGGTTACTAAAACTAGAAATTTCTGTGAAATTCTTTCAAAATGCTACTCCTTCTACAGTTTTGGTCTGATTTCAATATAACTTGGCACACAAGTAAACTACAATAAGATACATAATTCTGTATATCGGTTTTTGATTTCGATGAACGGTGTTGCCGTGGTTACTAAAATTAGAAATTTCTGTGAAATTCTTTCAAAATGCTACTCCAAGTACAATTTTATTTTAGTCTGATTATAATATAAATGTGGCATGCAAGTAGACTGCACTAAGAACATAAAGAGACTTAATCAAGGATCATTATTCTATTTATTGCTGTTGAAAAGTTTCATTTCCAACTGCTTAAGTACTTTTCTCTTCCTTTGCTATAAGTACAAAGCAGTAGAGCTTCAGTCTCGACAGAGACGTCTGGTTTTAATTTTTTCAAAAGATCATGATCAAATTGTATCATTAGACGATAATTGAAAGACAGATATTGCCACACTTCAAATTATGAGAAAACTACTATACAAATTTAGAAACAACACTTCGTTGATCTATTTCATTGATGATGCTGGAAGCCCTAGTAACTATTTACGCATGAGCACAAGATAACGTCTGTCTCCTTCTTTGTGTTTCAAAATAATAAATTTCTAGTGTAATGGAGATTGCCACGTTTGGATAATGTATTCATTTTTTAATTACTTCGATTTACGGAACATTGTTTGTACCACCTATGCATAGCCTCATTGCATTAATATACATGTATACTGTAAACCTTAGATTTTATGATTATTTTGTAACATACATGTACATGTGCATATACTGTACACATTTACATCCATATCTTTGATTAATTGTAAAACAATTTAAAAGCAAAACATTTTATCAAGTGTCCATAAATTCATCCCTCGTAAAGT